CACATTGCTTCACAACCAACACCCCGTGAATCATTTTACAACAAAAACATTGTTCAACCGCGCAGAGAATAAGGTTAAGAAAAGACTGCATGTACACATAGAAAATGTTGACAATTTCGCAAATTATGTCTAAACAGTGTCGAGGATACTTAATAGTTAATACAAATTTAAGCCATTCAAACTATACCGACTGGTCTAATTGTCATACCTTGAATTATACCTAAACGAACCACGTGGCCAAATGAGTTAAGAAAGAGACGGGATACAAATCGAACATGTCGAGCATTTTGCAAATTATGTCTCCACTGAATCGAGGCGCTTAATAGGATTTGTTTAAATATAATCTATACCGACTGATCCAATTGTCATCCCGTGATCATTACCTAAATTTAAACCCGCGGCCAGAGGAATTAAGGAAGATACTACTACGAGTACAAATTGAAAATGTTGATAATTTGGCAAATTATGTCTTGATTGAATAGAAGCCACCTAACACGGATTGTTTAAAATCAAACCATATCGACTTATTCAATTGTCATCCCTTGAATCCTGCCTAAAATTAACCACGAGGCCAGAGGAATTAAGAAAGAGACTGGATATGCAAATTAAAAATGCCGAGAATTTTGTAAAATTATTTCTAAATTGAATCGAAGCTACCTAACTCGTACTGCTTAAAACGTTGACCCTACCTAAATTTATCCATGCGGTCAAAGGTGTTAAGAAAGAGACTGGATATACAAATTGAAAATGATGATAATTTTGCAATATTATGTCGAAATTGAATCTAGGCTACATAACACCAACGGCTTATAATCAAATTATACCGACTGATTCAATTGTCTTGACATCTACTTTGCCATGCGAGAGGTTAAGAAAGAGACCGAGTATACGAATTGAAAATGTTGATATATTAAACTGAATTGAAACCTTGTAACATGAATTGTCGACTGACCTGATAGTCAACCTTTGACTCTTGCCTAAGTTTAACAGAATAATGCTCATTGGCTAGGGTCAACAACTGGAGGTGAGGTGATAGGGTGTTGTGGTATGGTGGGATTGGGTGTTGTATTTTTTTCAAACTATCCAATCATGTATTAATACGTATCCCTTTTGTTTTTGAGTCTGTTATTGACTCTATCACAGTAGCAAGGTTGAAGTTTAACGACTGATTCAATTGTCTTGACATCTACTTTACCATGCGAGAGGTTAAGAAAGAGACCGAGTATACGAATTGAAAATGTTGATATATTAAATTGAA